CAATTTATTCGTCTCATTTTTCATGAGCACTAACATTACCCGGCTACTGCCTTGTGGGCAAGAAAATCGTGTGGCATGCACAGAGCTCTCCTCTGCCCACAGGCTGACCTTACCTCCCTCTTGAGGACAAGCTTYAGAGTGAAGGAGATGAAATCCGTGAAGAGCTGCTTCAGCCAGCCTGGTCTGTGTGAGACAGGGAGCACAGTCAAGGGACACCCATGGTCTGCACTTTGGGGTGGGTGGCATTTGGGGACCGGCAGAGGGACAATGAATCTCGATTTTGAAAGGGGGCAGACTCACTGCTTGTCTCCTTGGAGGTGAAGGGTGAGTTTGTGGAAAGCCAGGTAGCAGTCTGAGGCATCAGGAACCACCAGTTCCTTTTGGCACACTGCACGGGATGAGAGGAAAAAAGAAAATAAAAGAGCTGATTTGTTATTGGGATGAGAAGAATGAGTGTACTTTGCAAACGCTGCAGGCCATCACTGCAGAGAGGCTGCCAAGGGATTGGGTTCTCAGGGAATGTTTCCAAAAGATTCCAGACCCTGCTGAATTGGAGCAGATAGGGCTGCCTTGCACCTGGATCGAGGGTTTCTGCTCACAGCTCCAGCTGAACTGGTCTACCAGGCAACCTTCTCCATGCTTCATYTGGATACCTGCCAGCTCCCTCTCCTGCCATCAGAGACCTGGGTGTCCCCTAACRTCACCCAGGAGAACCTGGACAGTAYAGGCAACCCACAAACCAGAGCAGGGGGGAATTCAGCTATATCGCAAAGAGTTTGGGTATTGCARCATACTTACAGAGATCGATGTTCAGCTGGAGGTCAATGGAAGACTCGATTTCAAAATCAACAGAATGAAAAAGCTGYAAACTGTAAGGGCAGAAGAGAGGACATTTAGCAACCTGTGCCTGGAGCAGCCTCTCCCTGACACTGTGGATTCTGTGACACCTCTCCAATTCTGTGTTTTCATCTTTGCACTGCAGTGGGCAAACCCCCAGCACGGCACAGCCCATCTCAGATACTCTGGCTTTAAATCCTTGCAAACTGCAGCCTTAGTGGCACTTGGGAGCATTAAACCCCCTTTTTACCCACTCAGAGTTTACATAGCAACGAAGGGGAGGGAAGAAGTCAAACTGGCATGCATTGGCCATCTGCTCTCATCATGCAAGGTGAGGACAGAAAGGCAGAAAGGCAGAAAGCAAGACGAGCAGAGCAGGGATGGGGCTCAGCAGAGTATAAATTCCTGTCTCAGACAGAAATCAAAGCTGCCATTGCCAGAGAGACCCACGAGTGCAGCCCCTCCTCATCCACCTGTGCCTGCAGCAGTCCCACATCAGTGGGTACCACATCCCCATGGTGCCCAGCAGCCCCAGCCCCCGGTACTCACAACCAGGCCCCGGAATAGCCATAGGTCAGGGTCCCTTTGAACAAAGCTGACACGTTTTTGATGACAATGTGAATGGCATCGTCCTCCTTGAGCTCCACTTCGCTCCGCTCTATGGACAAATCATTGACCTGGATGCTAAAAACAACAGAAACACAGTTTGTCCCCAAACCAGAGCTGTTTTGTGTGGGAAAGGGCAGGAAAGGGATCTCTGAGGGACCCACACCAAGGCCAGAATGCAGAGATTTTCCAATCGATTTTCCAGGGACAKTGACAGCAATGCTTTTGCTCAGTCTGGGGGCACCGTGCCTCCRTGCAATATTCGATTCAAGGCTGGGRAATGCTTTAAGCAGGAAACTCAGAGCAGTACAGCCCTGTGTGATTGCAGAGCTCTGTGCAGGCACGGTCCTGGCAKGAAATCTGTTCTGTGAATGCACCGCTGAATTCGTGCCCCCAAAATAAAAGTGAGTAACACAGTGACACCCAGCCTGCTTTGGCACAAAGCACAGCCAAGTGACATCCTGCTGACAGCCCTGGATGGGTCCCCTCAGTGTGCCTTGGGGACCATCTGTTGTCGGTGGCCACAGGTGCCRCAGCCCACAGGGACATTGCACCCCATCCCCGTTGTCAGAAATGAGCTTTACACATTGCCTCTGTGGATGCCAGCACAGGTGAGAAAATAAATAACTCTAAAATAACACATCAGCAGCCTCAACCTTAACATGCAAAYTGTCTGCAAGGCTCAGATCCAAAAGCRTGTCTGCCCCAGCCCAGCCCTTTGSTTTCACCAGGAATTGCTGCATCAAAGCTCCCTCCAAGGGCAGTTTCTGTTGTTTCTGTCCCMCTCTCTCCCCCGGCACAGAGACACGGAGATACTCACTTGGACAGCCCGTAAGCCACCCGGCCGAGGAGCCGCATGGACCTTTCCCCGGTGATATTGGGGAATTTGGCGTTTCTGAAGGCTGCTTGGATGACCTGCGCCGTTTCCTGGTTCACTGCCAGGGGAAGAGAAGGGCAAAGGTGTCAGACTGCAATCTCTCCTGGCTGCAGAGCCAGAGCCACACTCTGGATTAAAGCACTGCGAAGGCTTTCATCCAAATCATTTCCATCAGATTAAAGAAGCACTAGAAGGAGTTTCAGAGTAAATGAAAAAGATTAAAAATCCCTCACTGCAACAGCTGAGGGCAGCAAGGGACAATAGCGAAGCTGCCTCCAGGGAATCATGGCCAGCTTTCAGACACCTCAGAAGCAGATTTKGGAAAGGTCAAGGCTGTGCTCATCCTTGCACCACACAAGCTGTTGACTTTACCCCAATGCTTTGCTTTGTTGCTGCTTAATTGTATTGCAGTTAGCTCTTGGATTTCCAAAGGAAAAGTCTTGATACTCAGGTTTCTGTGCCCATTTTCTTAATATTATCACGCCCATTCCAACCTCAGGCACAACCTTGTACAGGATTTCTTCCTTCCAGAAATACCCTCTTAGTTTGACCCAGCAGGTACCACTGCTGGACAGGACAAATCTGTTCCCACCCTTCACAGAGGAGTTAAATATTCTTCCCCCACCTGCAAACCCACCAAATCCTTGCAAATAAACCCACAGCAGCACAGAACCTGTTTCCCCTCTTCTGCACACCGATCCCAAGAGATGAGATTGCAATGAGGTGAGAAATTGAGCACGATTAGTTCGAGCTCTTTCACGGTGCCAAACCCCAACAGGACCAGCGCTGAACCCTCAGGCTGAGTAGAGGGGCTGAGGATCCTTTTCAAGTTCCATTGCCCGTTCAGTTCAGGTGCCCATGCTTTCACCTGTGCTCCCAGGAGGTGTTTACACAAAAACCAGGGAAGGAAGAAACCCCCTCACTCTGATCTGTCCCTAATTTCTGGCAGAGACAGGGCAAGCACAGCCCCAAAGAGCCCCAAAGGCACTCACACAGCAACGCCGCCGGTTTGGTCATCCTGCAGACGATCCCCGTGGCTCTGTAGGGGAAAGGCCCAAAGTCACAGGCTGCTGCTGTGTGGATAAACACCAGCAAGACCCTGAAGGTGCCCAGCATCATCCTGCCAGCCCAGCACATCTTCACCCGGAGCAGAGAGCGCTGATGAGACCAAMTGATTCCTGGCGGAGGCAGAGGCTGCTTTCATACCCCCAGCAGAGCCCACTCGAGGCAGGACATGACCTGCTTCCTCCACTTATCAAAACTCATCACACATTTCCTCATCTTCCTATAGTTTCCTTAACACCCTTCGTGTGGCTCGCTGCCTTCCTCCCTCAGCAGGAGTTTGGGCTGCAGGGCTTGGTGCTCCTGCCAAGACTGCTTTAACTCAGGACATGCACACACCAGGGAGGGTGGAAAGAGATGCAGGGGGATGGAGAGTGGAAGAGGATAAAGTCCAGGGAGCAGCCTCTCGTGCTGCCTGAAAACAGTTCATTTTTTTCTTCACGCAAAAATATTCATTATTTTGCATTCCTGCAATAATTCCCCTGTTTGAAAGGTACCAACATCACACACTGCTCCCCTTTCCACTGATTTTATACAAACTGTGGGGAAACTGAGGCACAGTCCTGGGAAGGGGGTGTTTCCTGCTACCACGGGGTGAGCCCACATCTCCCACATCCCTGGAAAGCTTTGTGACCACAAGACAAGGATGCTCTGTGCCTCTTTGCTGGATTTGTGGGCAATCTTGTTCACCACCATCCAGGTGGAGGAGAACCCACCAAGCTGGAGTTTTTTATGCACCCAGACTGTGAGTTGCTATTTAGGGAACATCAGAGACCTGAATTCACATCCACTCCTTGTGCACATCTATCCTGTACACCACTGCCCTCCTGCACCTCTGCTGTGCTGCCGGGGACCATCCCAATCCCTAAACAAACTCCAGGACAAAACAGAGTGGGGTTATTTCAGCAAGGAGCATCTCAACAGCTCTCGTGAATATTTTTGCCAGCAAAGACCGATGGAGAAGGACAGGTGAGAAGTTAGCAGTGCTGCAGGAGCACCCTCAAGCCCCTGAGCGGGGTGAGGTGCCAGCCTCCCTCCCCTCCCTGCGCAGGGTGAGCACATTTCCTGCGGGGACCCCGCTGTCCAGCAGCCCCCACCCTGCCGGGCTGTTTTCTTCCTGAGKTGAGAAAGTGAACGGCCTCGGGTAGCCCGCGGGAGGCACTCACGGTCACTGACCCGAGGGAAAACGAGCATCTGCAGCTTCCCCCAGGCTCCTCCAGCACAGCAGCGTGGTGGCTGTGGACAGAGTGCCTGCTGAGAGCTTAAACTGCTTTATAAATGAGCGGCTAATTGTTGGAAACAGAGCACACAAAGGCAGCAGGGGCTCGAGCAGCAGAACTCCCACCCCATCATCTCAGCTASCACAGCATCCCCCTGCCCTGGCTGGGACAGCTCTTCCCAGGGCAGCTGCAAAAAGCACGGGAATGCTTCAAAARGGTTTGAATTTGAGATGTTTTAACCATCTGACAGCTGTATTTTCTGCCCCACAACTCTCAGTTCAAAGGATATGGGCACAGTGGCCAGCACCAGGGGTAGAGGGAATCCTGCAGGCCCCAGGAGGGCACAAATACCTCTTTGCCAGGGCAGCAACTCACATCRGCATGGRGGGAAGGGAAAAYAGGCATTTTAACACAGGGATGCTTSTCACCAGTGYCCCAGGGTAGATAAAGGCAGAAARCCCAAGACCCCAGCCCCATTGTGCTGGTCCTGGTAGATCCAGTGCATTTACACCCTGTTAGAGGCCAGCTCCCCTGCCCAGCAGCACTGCAGAATCTGCTGTCAGCAGGCARCCCAGAGAAAAGGAGGACAGGGAACTGCCGGGCATTGACCTCCACGGGAACAGGAAGGCTGGAGACGTTCTGCCTACAATAGCAAAAGTGTGTGGAACACAGAGATGCTGTGAGCATCCTTGTCCTGGAGTAACCAGGCAGAGGCCAGGCCAGCAGGGACACCACAGCCCACCCTCCTCCCAGTGCAAGGTCAGGCTAGGACAAGTCAGGTCAGATTTAAAAGCCTAAGGAAAGGTTAATTTTGGCTAGCAGGAGACAGGACAGCCTTTAAACCCCAAGGAAAGTTAAACATCTGAGCTACAAAGGGGATGCTGGAAGATGTTTTGATAAACATTTGCTGTGTAAGGCTTTATGTGAMGGCCATGCATGCACACATGGACTCCTTACCTTGCTGTAACTGGGGTTGTTTTTCCCCACRTTGTCCAGGGCAGAGGTACAACCCAGTGCCATTAATCTTTGTGCTGCATTGACCGAAACATTCAGTGTTACCCTGCAGATGCTTCCTGAGAGAGCCTTCCAGGTACCCCGGCTGCACCCGGCAACAGGATGGGCTCCAGCAGCACTGCCAGCATTCCCACAGCAGGGCAGCCCTGGCATGGCAGGAAGGTCAGCCCAAGGACCCCTGCTCCTGGAAGTTTATAAATTTGAGAAATTCAAGTAAGATTTGTTATATAAACCAGTTAAATCAATTAAAGCCATGCCAACATTTGAAATCAGATGTCAAATGAAATTGGTACTACCCAAGTTACTCAAGAGGTCTCGAAATTTTAGAAAGCAAGAGTAACTTGGAATCTACAATCACACAATAAGGTAAGGGCTCTCCACCTCAAGCAATCTCCTTGGGTGATGGCCTGACCTCAGGAGAGGTTTCCCCACTGCAACTCCAAATTCTCTTGAAACTAACTCAATTCCTTCCCTTCTGTACCAGTATCATCCATAACAACCTCTAAAAAGAAAAAAAAAAAAAACTCATCTGGCCCTAAGTGAGCCCAGGCTTTTCACAGCTGAGGGTGCCCAGGGCAGCWGGGCTGGAGCTGGAAGTGCAGCCAGCTGCCTTTCTGTGGCACTGACAAATCTGGACTGAAAGAGCAGCAAATACCACTTTCAGTGCTACTATTAGAAACTGGGGAGGTTCTGCAGCACAGGTCACTGAGCAGGCACAAGACACAGACCCAGAAGGAACATTTCCCAGGGTCTGTCCACCCCTGCCAGCCTGGCAGCTGAACACGACCTCAAGCCTCTCATGGTGGGTTTGTGACCCTGCCATACACCAGAAYTGGTTTTCACCTCCATGATACCGTTCCATTTGATACTCACACAGTATTAAATACTAGCAGACATTTCAAGAGCTGTTCTTATGCAGCAGAAGGGCTGGAGGGAGGTGACAAARACGCAGTTGACATGTTTGGTAACACAGTGGGGGATGGCCTCTGAGGAGACACGGTTTGTGAGCACAGCTTTGAAAATCCCAGCAGCCTCACAGCTCAAAATGGATCACAGGACAGGACCAGAGGGAGCTGTCAGGATGTCCCTGGCTGCTGAGAACAGGGACAACAGGGACAACAGGCACGTGCATGAGTGAAACAGCTCTTCAGAGAAAAGGGGAAGCCACACACAAACAAACACGCCACCACCGCCAGCTTATCTGCTCAGCAGCAACCTCATCCTCACAAGATTCATGTTCCAGGAGCATACCTGAGGTGACAAACAGGATTTGAGTGGTTCCCTAAATAAGCAGCCTGTTTAGKAATTTCCACAACAAGAACAAAGGTGTCTGAGAACAAACAGATTGTGCATTTCTCCCCTGACTTGTTTTCCAGTGGGGATGGAGACCTGCTCTCACCCCGGCGCAGCTGCCAGAGTGTATCAGGGGACACGGCAGCAGAGGGACCGGCTTTATCCTGCTGCTCACTTGGCCACCCTGTGGACCTGCAGAGGACCTTCACTACCACACCCTGCCTGCTCTCGGAGCCCTGCACAGCCCGTGCTGACCCTGCAGGGTGCTGCAGCCTCCCTGCCCCAACACAGCCGCACAAAGCCCTTCTCACAAGCCTGCRGAGCTAAACCAGCAGCAGAATCACAGCTTGAAACGTGAGCCAAGGCAAACCCAGCCTCCTAAAGCCACAGCCTCAAGCCCCTTCTGGTCCCACGGACAGTCTTGCTTTTGCTCTTTCAGTCTTGCCCTGGAAGGTTCAAGGCTCATGTTTTCCTTTTGTCTGACCTGGATTCCTTCATCTTCAGGGCCATGCTCACTGTCACCCAGAGCTGGCATCCAGGCTCTATCCCCTTCCTTGCCATSCCTCCTTCCATACCTCACTGTTTACACTGACATCCCTCCAAGCTGAGCTGCCTCAGTTCCTTTCAATGCYCCAATCATCTCTGCTTGCTCCCAGGCTGTCTCTGGCAACCAGAGGCCTCTACGGGTCAGGGGGGCAGTGACAGGGACAGGGTCACCCAAACCCTCAACTCCCCATAACCCCAGCTGTGCTCAGAGCCCTCAGTCAGGCACTGTTCCCTCACATCCCAGTGCTCCTGCCTGGGTGCACCACTGGCAGCTGCCTCAGCAGGATTACACAGGATTTACTTCCACATTCTGTGTCCTTTGCTGCTGTCACGGCCCCCCCTCACCCCAATCAGAGATTTTGTGTTTCACTAAGCCATTAAGGAGATGCTCTCTAAGGTCCAGGACTCTCACTGCATCCCTGCAGAGGCATTAGCTACGCTTCATTAGTTTTCCAACTAGTTTTAAACCAATCTGCCTGCTCATGGGAGCAGCAAAAGCCACAAAACAACAGATGTTTTGCTGTCTCTAATAAATTCTCAGATTAGAGATTTCACAAGTAATCCAGCACTGTGTGCTCATTGCCTCAACCCCCCCAAACCATTTATTTCTGGCTGCCAGGAGCTGCCCTCTCCTGCTACGACTGAGCACAGGCACAGCTCAGTTGATCCAGGCACTTTGCCAAGACACCTGAGTGATGTCAGCGATAATTGCTACACCCTGAGGGAGAAAAATCCACAATCCACAATCCACAAAACACCCTTGATGTGGAACACGCCCAGCCAGCAGCTCAGGGTGCAGCTGCTGTGTGAGCTGCAGTGGGTGTCACCTGGCACCCACCCCGTGCCTACCAAAGGACACAGGGACACAGACTGTGAGGATGAAAAAGCCTGGGGATTCCTTTGTTCAGTGAGCACAATTCCCAGAGCAGCACCTGACTTCTCAGACCATTAGCAAGGCAAGAAAGAACAAGCACCTCCTCCAGGAACACCCTCAAAGGCTGATGCAAGATTTGGGGTAACAAAACTGACCTTCTCAAATTATGTCAATCTAAATATTTAAAAATTATTTTACTCATGTCCTACCCCTCCTCCAAGTCCTCAGCAAACTGAAGATATGGCAGAAAAAACAGCCTGGAAAAAAAATTGTTCAAATCAGAACCACCACCAGGATTAAGTCATTTCCACAAGGTACYACCAACAAACCATGTCCAACATCAGTCTGATGTCAAGTGGCAAGATCAAGCACTCTCTGTACCAACTGATGTGTGCTAGCCCTGCCAAGACACTCCTAAACACACTGTCCTGCCAAGTGCAGGCAGCAGAGGAAAAGCACAACAAGTTCCAGGAGTGGCAGCTGCTCCTCGACAGCACATTTCCAGCCAAGTTAAAACCCTGAGCCAAGACAGGGTGTTGCTCCACCAGGAGTCACAGGCAGGGTTTGAGGAGTCCAACTTTCCAAATACTCACAGAATTACCCATTTCAAGATGTCCAAGGCCTTTGTATCAGCATCTTTTCATATGCAAACCAACTCCAAGCTATCCAAGGCACTTTACCTGCTAAAGGCTGCTGAAGAACATAAATKAGGCAAGGAATTAAATTAATACCTTTTCCCTCATATCCCAATCCCATCATCGTGACTTTTCAATAAAAACCAGGCAAGAGCACACCCTGTGCTTTGCACAGGTACTGTCCTGATTGCTGTAGAGGATGTAAACAAATGTGGATATAAATGCCTGCAAGTTTTATTGCAATAACAGCCCTTAACCATATCAGAAATTARAGGGAACACAATGAAGTAATACAAGAGAGTTGCACTGGAGTGAGAATGCAAAGTTGAATACAGGAATTACACTGCTTTAACTTTGCATCYAAAAGCAGTGAAGAAGTTCACATTYTGCATAAAGTTTTTGTTAAATACATTTAGACTTGAACACCCTCTTCCCCCATGATTTGGCAGCAGGGCAGGGGGAATTAAGTCTTGAACTTAAACTATCTGAATTTGGCAACATGAAATGTAATCTGCAACTTCACCGAGGTAATTGCTTATCCAGGTCACTGTCTTGCAGTCCTCCACTTTGTCCAACAAGGAGATTGCACAACACATTCTTCATAGGAAAGTATTTACAAAGAAAATTTAAAATATTGTTGAAGCAATTGAACGATAGATCTTTCTTAAAAATCCGCTAATGCGTATCTAGCAATTTTTGAGATCCTACACTCAGTGTAATTAAAATAGCATTTGGAACATTCCAACAGGAATCACATTGCACAGAAGAAGCAATTTGCTTCCCTAACACTTTTGCACACCTGCTCAGAGCCTGTGCATTTAGTGCACAAGTCCACAATGCCAAGCCTCTACATAGATACCTAAAAATGCTATGGAGCAAAGTTCTTTGGAATGAGGAAAAGCATCTCAGTCTCTAGGCTGTAACGATGTAAGGCTTCTTGTAGCTTTATTTGCTTGGTCAGTGAAAGCCAGAAGAAGTGCCATCCTTTTCCATGTCTGCTCTGCAGTAGGATCTGGTTCTCTCATGTGTCCACTGTAGTTTCAGACAAGAAGATTGGTGACACATCAGTTGTGGGTCAGACCAGGCCCTTCTGGAAGGAGGGATGCAAAGAAAGTCTTGAAAAAAACCCACGCCGTGCTCGCAAATGAAGGGTTGGCCTGCTGCAGCTCTTGGAAAGCTTGTCCCTCGTCGGGAGGGGTCTCAGACCCATCTGCTCTGCCTGCATTTTCCCCCTGCTAAAATAAAGGATATTTGGTAAAGGAGAATTTCAGAAATGCATTAGAAAGATAAGGTGTCAAACAGTTTGTTTTTGTTGTCCAAAATTAATTATCTGAATATAAAATTCCTGCAAGTAGCGCCAGAAACAAAGTCAGAAAAACCAAGGTGCACTCTGGCAGTACTGGTTAACTCACACTGGGTGTGTACAAGAATATTGTCCAGGATGTTCATAAAGCACCAAAACAGCTGAATTAAGTATTTACAGCTAATTAACTTGCATTTACATCAGAACTGTCAGCTTGGATTCAAAGACTTAGCCTGCTTATAGACCCAGATCCTACAGAGGTGTAGTCTGAACCTCAGCTCCAGCCTGTGACAGACTCCTTCCCATTACAACTTCCTAAAGGACAGGAGCAAATGAAAGATAACATTATCCTGAAATATTTTGGAGAACAAAGAAATTTGCTACACCAATGGAGGACTCAGGTGGTGGTTATTCCCCCATGGAAGATCGTTTCTTGAAACTTCTGTAAGAGACTTTCTTTTTTACTACACATAATTAATAAACCAAAAGCAAAACTTCCCAGGGTTTAATGGTTTAAAAATACAGCAAGACAATACCTGTAAGTTATTGTTCTGGTCCTGRTTTAGAGCAGCTTGAGGAGGAACATTGCCTGGGAAAGGCTCAACTGGTCTTCGTCTAAATGGGAACCTTCCAGCATGGTGCCTGGGGARAGCAACAAATGAATTAATTAATTAATCCTGTTTCACAACAGCTGCACATCTGACTGCTCAGAGCTGCTGGCAACTAGCAACAGTAAAATTAAAATACATTTAATGGAACAAATAACCTTCACTTTCCAAGTCTGCATAGATTTTGGAAGAGCTGCTCCAGTTTTAACTCCTACAATTCAGAGACCTACATCACTTGCTCCCAGTGAYCAAAGAATTTTAGAAGACAGATAATCTTCCTCAGATAAGACATCCCAAATGTGACAGCTGAGGGTCCATTACCATCTGTGTTTTTATCTTCATTATATTCCCCCCACCCAGAGAGGTTCAAAGACAGTTCAGGACACTCCATTCAGTTCAGCCTGGTCTGCTCTCCAGAGGGGCAACACAGCAGAAAAAAAATGCAGGGATGCATGACTTGTTGAGACCCTCTTCCCAGACTTCAACCACTTGTTTCCCAACACAAAACTGTCATTTTCTACACAGAACCTGCAGGTCTGCTTGCCCTATGCTGCCAAGGTGCTGGAGCTTTATACCAGTGGCTATTTAAATTCCAAATAGTTTTCCATAATAGAAATCCAGCCACACCAGAAACTACAAAACCCCAGTGAGATCACCCACYATCAGCCACTTTYTTCATTTAATCCAGGCATAGGCATAATTTTCTATTTTCTAAATACTGAGTTATATCAGGGTAGCGGAGTGATTTGCCCTTTCCAGGTGCAAGAGTCCTATGAAGCAYAACTACCAGGGAGCTGAGCACAGCACAGAGCTCAGTACTTCAGTGAAACCCTTCTGAACAGCAAATATTAACACCATACACTTACAGATACATCAGAATAGTGCCACCCATAACGAGGAGGAATCTGCTGATACTGGAGTAGAAATAGACCATGTTGACAAAAACATATAACAGTGTTGCTGAGTAGAGCCAGTCCAACCAGTCTCGATTTCCACCCTCTTCATCYTCCTCCATGAGGGGACCCCCTTGGGCATTCATCCTCAAGTTCTGGTCAGCCACTGCRTTAACCTGAGCAGCAACATTCTGGTTTCCAGGCTGGTTTTGGGCAGGAAATGGGTCTGCAAGAGGAGCTGGAGGTGTCACCGGTGCCACTGGTATCTCCTGAGAACGTCGTGCATGGGATGGGTCAGCAGACGCAGCAGTAGAAGCCAAGCTGGAAGCAGAGAACAAAGTACAGAATGAAGCTTAGTCAAATCCGTTTACACTTTACACAGGCCCTGAAAATCTGTCTGTGAGTCAGATCACATACAAAAAGAAATCATCAAGTTTAGAGATTACAGAAGCATTAAAAACAATTTTTAGTTCTACCCAAAACATCTGTTTAGTGACTTCRAGTCAAACCAGGCACCTTTCCCTTTATTTACAATAATGTCAGTACTGCACAAAAAATATTTAGAGAAATCTGCAGGTAGTGTAAAAGCCCTCTGCAAGTGTCCACTTGACCTGTCACTGATCTCCAGCCAATGCTGTGTGCTTTGGGCAAGACTCAGAACCACTATCCCAAACAGCAAAAGAGCAGCTAAGTCAGAGGTAAATTCCCCCAACATTCAGCACAAGTTATGATGAAAAAGTCCCCAAGCACYATCGAAAGAGGAAGAATTGCCAGGAGCTCTCAGTTTCTACTTCCTAGTGGCAGTTTGGAACAGAACACTTACTATTGCATGTAATACTGTCTTGCATAAATCTGCTGGAACCAGGACATCTGAAGCATGCTGTAGGTTGTGTAAGCAGAGAAGCCAGGAGCCACAGTCTGGAAGGGACATGGAGCTGTTTCCAGCCTAGGTCAAAATTTGAACACATTTATTAGCAAACACCGGACAAACAGCAAGAGTAATTTATTACAGAACAACGTAAATAGCTTTTGTGTACTCAAACACARAAGTACTTGCTCCTTCTAGATTCCACCCTTCTACTTCTTTAAACATACGAATAAAGGGAAGATTTTCAAGTAACAGAGCAGTGCATTTTCCTTTAGATGCCACAACCCTGGAAGGTTAGACARAGAAACCTGATGTAGTGCAAGGTGTCCCTCATGCAGAGGGTTGGACTAGATGGCCTTTAAAGKTCTCTTCSAATCCAAATTATTCTATGTCCACTAAAGCTTTTATATAAAGCCTCATCATATACGACCCATGTTCTATGTACTTACAACAGTATACATGGCATAAGAAGCTGGCATCTAACATAAATATATCATTTAAAAAAATAAACTTAAAGATGTACATAAAATTGTATTTACCCATTACTGGCTTCTGCTGACAAGTGGCCACCTGAAGAGCTCCTTGATCTTCCACCATTTGGGGAAGACACAGATGGTTCCTGCCTGGTTCCTGATGGTAACTTGGGCTGGTCAGCTTTAACCTACACACAGCAAGGCAGCCATGAGATTTACTCAGGACACAACATACACTTCATGCAAAAAAGTTGCACCCCACAGAATATGCCCTTGTTGCAACACCTGCACAGCACCTCTCAGCGCTGCCCCTACTCTTGGGCACCATGCCATAAGCAATTCTATCAGTATTTTAAACCTCCTTGAAAAAAAAWTACTGGGATGCAAAACTGATTTGAGGTTACTCTTCTCTTTCACAAGATCTATACTGTATTTGTTACTTCTTACACATCCATTTAGTGTCCATCTTGTTATAAGAATAGAAAACAAAAAAGACACTTGGGCTTCTTACTACAGCAAAATTTGTACTTGCTTGAACAAATTGCTGTACAYAGAGTTCAAGAGCTGCTCTGTGCTGGTACATCTGTATCCAGCCAAAGCTGGCTCACATCTAGCAACCAGCAGGGTAAGCTTACAATGCCTATAAAGGGCAAAAGGAACACAYCTCTAGAAACCTTGCCCAGCCACTGTAAAGAAAAAATGGGTTTTGGCCATTTGTGGCCACTTGAACTTGAGACCAATGCATGCTCAGCTCAAGCACTAAGGCTGAGCCTGTGGAGAGGAAGCCAAAGATGAGTCAMTRATGGGAGCAGTTCAWGTATCTGCAGYTCCCAGCCTTCTTCCCTCCCCACACCCCACACMCAGATCAGAACACTTTCCCCAACTTCCCTCTTCTGACCACCAAGCTCAATCTGTCCAAGAGTGCCTGGGCCATAACAAGTCATTCTGTTCAAGAAAACTGAATTTACCAGACAGCATTTCTCCCCTGAGCAGCACAATTCAACTAGATCTGGCATTTCTTAACAAATGCTATGCAAATCTTTACTGATGAACTACAGAGGCAGTTTTTTCACTCAGCTTAATCCAAATACATTCTCACATTCCCAAATAAATTATCACAAAGTAATACTGCTGTTGCACTAATAGGGAAAACCTGCAGTAACAAGGAACTTCAAAACAGCCATTCAACACTTCTCATTTTTAGTTACAAGCCCACAATTCAGAGTAGCAAGTTAACTAATTACCTCAGATTTTGTTTCTTGCATATTTGCAGGAGTCTTGAAGCTGTACACCAAATGAAGAGCATGCAACTCCCCGTGCTGAAATGTAAGGGAAAATCTGTTAAAAAAAAATCACCTCCCTGGATATATTTCAGGATATCATAAAAGATATTTTTTGTACCTTTGGCAACAATTCTCCCAGACAGTGGTGATCAAGCAGCAGCTTCCCAGAATAAATCAGCTTTTGGTCCTCTTCAGGCTTTGAAGAAAGAAAACAAAGAATGGGATTAATTACTCTGCCAAGCATTAACCAAAACAACTTAGAGCTRATGGAGAGAGGTATGCAGCTGGGAACATCCCACACACTAAGGTGCAGAGGGAATTGTGCACATCTAAATTCAGCTGAAGCAATGAGAACAACTGAACCCCCAAGTGTGAGATTACTGAGATCTAAATTTGCAAGATACGAAGCCAGTTGYGCAAAGAACTTTGGTTTTTGTCAGGACTGTAAAAGAGGCAACATATAACGTTCATGTTGCTTAGAAACCRAGGTTTAGAGTTCCACCTGATCTGATCAGCAGCAGAGATGGCATCAGGTAAATCTGTTACACCCCATGCAATGAGACCCAGCTGCTCTTCATCGGGAGCTGTCCCACAGCAGCCAGTGGAAGCACATGGAGCCTGCTTTTGGGAAATCACCACACTCCCAGGGAAAGCACGGCAAAAGCMTGGGAATCAGGCCTTCTCGAAGGCAATTAGTGACAGAACAAGGGGAAACAGCCTAAAGTTTGCAGGGCGGGCTCAGGTGGGATATTCTGAAAAACTTCTTCACTGAAGGAATGGCTAAGCATCGGAATGGGCAACCCAGGGAAAGGGTGGTGTCACTATCCCTGGAACTCTTAAAAAAACATTAACACAGACATGGCATTTGACACTATGATTCAGTAGGGATAGCAGCACTTGGTCGAAGGTTGAACTCGACGATCCTGAAGGCCTTTTCCAAGTTTATTGTTTCTGTGAAGGCCACACAGAATSCGCCGGCGGGAGCAGCGGACACGGAGCGCAGCTGCTCCAGCAGCCCTCACGCGTCAGCTCCCGTGTCCCGCGGCTCAGGGGGAAGTCACACTTCTGCCTTTCAACCCCACAASCCCCGTCACCCCGCCGTGCACAGCGCTGAATCCCGTTCGACAAAAATAAGCCCTCAAATGCCCAGGAAGGGTTTTGCCCGCCCGCCGCCCGGCYGGGTGCGGTGCCCGGGCGCTGCTCCCCGATGCCAGCGGGCTCCCGCAGGTGCTGACGTCCCCAAACAGCCTCAGGACACGCCGTCCCGGGAGGGCGGTTAATGATTAACCGCGGCCGGGCCACAAACGAGTCCCAAAATAGCCCAAGCGCGCCCCAAGCGCGGCTGACGCAACCGGGACACTCCGGGGGACAGGTACCGGTCCGGGAGCTCCGTGAGAGCCCCACAACAGCTGCCGGCGTTGCCCCGCGGGGATTCAGCCCCCATCACCCACCCAGAGGGGCTGCGAGCAGAGACCCGCCCGGCGGCGCTGCGGGAAGGGGGGGATCGCGCACTCACCGGCGCGTCGGGCAGGAGCCGGCGSAGCTCGGTCTTGAGGCGGCGCACGGTCCAGGCGGGCTCGGCGCTGAGGCGRAGGTCGCGGTGCCGCTGTGCRGGGCTCCGGACCAGCAGCTCCAGCRGCTCCTCCATGGTGGGCGCAGGACGGGCGGTGATTGCAAAACCTTCCCGGAGAGAGCTTTATAGGGGCCCGCCCCGCCGCAGGGCCGCGGTGGCTGCGGCTGATTGGCCGCCACGGGAGAAGGGGCGGGGTCTGCCACGTGGGCCAATCGGAGGGGGCCTCGCATGAGGAGCCGTGAGGAAAGGGAGRCACTGATTGGGCGGCTCCGGGATTGGGGCGGGGCCATGCGGTCACCACGGCGACCGTGACCCGCCCCGCCCTGCCCCGCCCGGGCCGTGAGGGGCGGGGGCCATTGCCGGGCCGGTGTCGCTGTGCTCGCTCCTTCCCTCCTTCCCTCCTTCCCTCCTTCCCTCCTTCCCTCCTTCTCTTCTTCCCTTCTCCCCTTCTCCCCTTCTCCCCTTCTCTCCCCCGCATCACCTTCGGCATCAAAGGATCCCTTGCCTTCATTCTCCCCTCCCGCTGCCCACAGGAGCAGCGTAGCTCTGTGGAGCCCTGAACGTGCTGCATCCACAGCCTGATCCAGATGAAACACCCCCTTTTTTTCTACGGTTATTTTACCGGATCTCTGTTGTTACCTCAGCAGGTTTGCTGCGGGCTTTTTGTGGACAGGACAAACCATATTTGTGGGCGTGGCCAAAAGGAGTGTGCAGAGGTGCTGGGGAAAGTTAATAATTAATGCATTTTTTCTGACAAGAAAAAAAAGAAAAAGCCATTAAAAATGTGGACCAGCAGCTTCATGCCCGTCTGTGAGATGGGATCCAGCACCGGGAAAACCCGTGGTAATGATCCTGATGCACCAGGAGGGGGTTTGCGCGTCCTTCAAAACAAAACCGTAGGAACGTGAGAAGCCGGATTTATCTCTCGGCAYCAGGTATTTACTCGGCGTGTTTCAAGAGCTGCTCAGTGTTCTTTGGCAGCCAGACCTGTTGCCCAAAGGCACGGATGAGTCTGCAGCCAGGACCGGATTTTGCARCCAGCGAAGACACTCTGCCATGGGGATGCATCACCCCGCGGCTTCGCGGGGAAGAGCCGAGCCAAAGGGCAGCTCTGCCGTGGGAGCCGACAGAAAAACAAAAAAAAAAATCACCAAGAAACGAGCTGAGCCTGAGTCTGGTCCAGTGAACCCTCCACGGCTGCTAGAGGATGTCCTTGTGAGGACAGAGAATTGCATGGGAGCCCATTTCTCTATCACATCACATCGCACAGTGAGCACTGAGGCTGCGCTCCTGCCTRCTCTGTCCTTGCTGTCCCTGGGCGGGCTCAATGCCCAGGTGGGCTTTCCCTCCCCAGCCTCTGCTCTGTGTTCTGCCAAACCAGGGAGATGTTGCCAGAGCTGTTTGCTGCTCTTGTTCCGTCAGCACAGACCATGACCCCTGTCCCTCAGCTCCTAATGACAGTGGGGAAAGACGAGCACAGTGTCCAGGGCCACCTTTGCCGTTGTCCCCCATTAAGGTCAAGGTGACATTGCTGTTTGCTCGATCGCAGCCTTTGCTCAGAGCACCCAGAGGACTCCCGTGGGTGTCAGGGTCAGGGTAAGGCTGTGCAGCTGTTGGAGTGAAACCAGGATCTTGTACTCTGTGTTTTTTCTGGGACTCCCTGTGCTGTTGCTGACCCGTGAGGTGAGCAGCTGTAGCCACAGCGCTGATCCTGCCTTGAGCCCAAGCTCCTRTGCTTCTCTCCCGTCACAGATAAGAGGGGCAGAGGTCAGCTGAGGTGCTCACTGCCCATTCCTTGTCTGAGCCATTGCTGGGAAGAATGCCTGCTCACTGGACAAACCTACCTGAATCCTGGCTTGGAGCAGGGGCTGCAGGAATGACCTGAGGCATGTGAGTGCTAAACCTCGGCAGCCCTCTTTCATACCTGGGGGTGCTGGACACCCTGGAGAGCCAGGCCCTTGCTGCCCTCATCCATAACAGCCAAGAACTGAATCTGGAGTCAGTGGACATGTCTGGACATYAGGTAGCACATGCTCCAATTCCAAAGGCTGATGCAGAGCTCCTGGGACTGAGGCAAAACAAACACTTGCCCTGATAATGTCTGCTCAGCTTAGCTTGCTCTGTGGCAGCAGATAAGGGGACACAGCACCAAACAGAAGGTGTGACCATCACATCACCCCACTGTCCTGCTGAACAATTAACTCCGGTTGACCAAAATTGGAGATGAAGGGCTGCAAGCTGCTTTTGTCACCTGCGTAAAAATTAACCACGGTGTAAATCAGGATTATCTCGCTGACCTCAACACAATTACTCTGTTTAAAGAAATAAACAAAACCGGGGGGGCTGAGTGGGGTATTGCTGATGAGTTTACAGCTCTGTTTGTGGTCAGGCTGGTTTTCATGGTGTGGTAATCACTCGGCACAGCAGGAACAGCCGGCGGAGAATTTACCAGTACATGAGGAGATGCTGCATGATCTTGCAGCCTGCTGTGCTCCTTTGCTCACTCAGGCACAGTGACACAGGGGACAAGCCTGCCGGGACCCCACAGTCCTGATGCCGTGGGGATGCCAGGGTGTGATGCTATTTTGTTCTGTCCAAAGGTTGCTCCCTGGGCCAGGATAGGTCAAGGAYCAAAGGGCAACAGAGTCCAGACAAGCCAGGCTGATTCTCCGGACTTGGTTCAATATGTTTATTCTGTTGGATGCACTGTGCTCCTTAGGTATCTGGCATTAAAAACTGTTTTGTRATGCTGCTGTCCTGGCCCCTCCAGCTCCAAGATTCCTTGGAGTCCATGAACAGGAGTTTGGTCATTTTCTGGCGCTGGGGCTGGTGACCCTGGTGTCTGCAGGCAAGGGGCTCACAGCACGCTCTGGCATCACTGGCAGAGCTTCACCACAGCAGGGTCTGCAGGGAAGGGACTGTCTGGCTGTCCCTGAGTGTTTGTGTGCCTGAGCAGAGCCAGTTCYGCCAGAGAYACATCCYAAGGGCATCACCTGTGGACACAGCYCGGCAGCACCAAGGAGATGTGCTCTGGCTGCACGTCCTGGCAGCATGGTGTTGGACGGGCACGGAGAGCCTTTGCTGCACACCCGGTGAATTTGGGCAGTTTCGCTCCACTCACTCAGCTGTTTCACTGCTCAGTAAAGCAAATCATCCCCGAAACGATGAACCTCCCCTCGCCCACGCTGCTCCGGGGCAGCACAAAACTTTCCTGCCAGACAGGGGAGAAAAAACAGAACGAAAATGCAACCAGGAGGTGGAAAACGAAGGACACATCTGAAAAACATCCCTGCTACCAGGGATGCCTCTGCCAAAGGCCACCAAACCGCTGGCATCGTAAGTCCCCCGCCAGCATGGGGAAACGCCGGGATATTCCCGGGCGGGGCCTAAGCTTCCACCGGTGACACTCGCGGGGATTCCGTGCGGATGCTGGCAGCGTGCGGCAGCCCGGTGTCCCCAAAGAGCGGCCGCTGCTRCGTTTAATGTGTCGCTAATGAGGTTCCTGACAGCGATGGGATGCCCGAGGTTACCGGCGCGGTGCCCGGTGCCGTCCCGGCGGCCCGACGGAGAGCGCAGCCCTACTCGKGTGGAGCGGCGGGGCCGAGGTGGGGAGGATGAGGATGGGGACGGGCGTGGAGTCGGGGATGGGGACGGGGATGAGGATGGGGGTCCTGCCCCCCGCCCGTCCCCACCCCCGTTACCACGGCGACGTTGTCAGCAGCCGCCCGGCCACGCCCCCCGCCCCGCCAGCACCAATGGCGCGGCGGCGCCCGGCCTGCCCGCCGGTGACGTCATGGCCGGTGAAAATCCCCCGTGGCCGCGGGAGCGGCGGTGGCGGCGCGGCCCCGCGGCCCGGCCCGGCCCGCACCATGGCCAAGCACCACCGCACGCCGGCGCGCTCCGCCGAGCCCGTCATCGAGGTCAAGAGCAAGGTAAGCGCCCGCCGGGGACGGGGCCGGTGATGCCGATGCCGATGCCGGTGCCGATTCCGCCGGGTCACGACCGAGCGCGTCGCCCCCGCGTCGGGCAGCACACGTGGGGTGGCACCGCGCACCGGGGAGCGGCGCGGGAGCCAGGCCGTGCGGGTTCTGTTCTCCCCTGCGCTGCGGCAGCGCTGCCCGGAGCCTCCCCGAGCCCAGCCCGGCCCGGCGGCCGCGGCGTCCCGCCACCGTGGGCTCTACCGGGCCGCGGGCTCGCTCGGCGCGGCCGTGGGAACGCCGCGGCRGAGCGCTCGGCAGATGCGCAGGGCGCCGGTGCGCCGTGCCGRCAGCCCCGGTGTGCGGAGTGGCCCCGCCGCTGCGGGTGAGCTGGGCGTGCGGTCACTCCGGGGACACATCTCGCCCAGATGTGCGGTCACCCAGATGTGCGTGCTCGCCAAAGCATGCGCATCCCTGGCTATACCATCACCCAGATGTGCACCCCCAACAAGGGACGAGCCCCTGTCGGGCATCCAGATGTGCACACCTGCATGACTGTGCACTCGCCCAGATGCGGTCTCCCTCAGACGTGTTTCTCATCCAGATATGCGCTCACCTGGCACACCCTTGCCCAGATGTGTGCCCTCACCCAGATAGTCACCATTTTCCACCTGTGCCCACCCACCCATCCCTGTGCTCACCCAAATGTGTGCACTCCCTTTCTGCACCCTTATCCAGCTGTGCGCTCGCCCAGCTGTGCCAGTGCCTGCCCGGACCCCCGGCAGGGTGCAGGGTGCCCTCCTTCCCAGGACGTGGTGGCCACCGCCTGCCCCGACAGCCGGGGTGTGACACCCGCGGGCAGCGCGATCCTCGCAGTGTTCCTCAGCCTGTTCATAATTGGCTTCCCCTTGGTCGTGACGGAAGGAGGCATTAATTAGCGCTGTTGCTCACCAGGTGCTACGGCAGCGCCCGTGTCGCAGGGAAGGGCCTCCCGGCAGCACGGAGCCTGCCACGGCTGCTGGTACGGCCAGAGGGTCCTTCCTCTGCCGCGGGCCATCTCTCTGCCCCATCACTGCAGTGTTCGGGCAGGCAAACAGCTTCGTTCCTTTTACTTTGTTTTTGGGACGGGCTCTTCCTGACTGGCGCTGCTGCTTCGGTGCTGCCGGGTTCCCGAGCTGTCAGCACCAAAGCTCTGCGT